TCTCAATATTTCAATTTATCTTGAAATATTGAGATATTAATTTTGGTCCATATCGCCCAGCTCTAGCTGGTAGTGGGTCAGATCCTTCATGGTGAGAGTTGGACCTTCAGGGCTGCCTGTTGTCACTGATTCTGTTCAGAACTTTTATGGACAGAATTTCTCGGTCCAGTTCGGACTCTTCATTTGTTCTGTTAGGTATAGTTTAGGGTAAATATTTTTATGTTTGATTTCATAATTTGCAACGAGTGCCTTCAACCATGGTTGAACATGAGGGTTGTGTCTTCACCATGAGCTCAAATCAAAGAGCTTCTAGATCACTGCAGACATCATCCATCTACCTCCTGCTCCATCTTACTCAACAAAAACCCTCAGAGACTTGAACTTGGGCCAGTGGCTCATTCCCACTTGAGAGCTGGCCACCAGGAGGGAGGGGGGACACGTCAGCATTATTAATGGGTGATGTGTTTCAGGTTGATCTGAAGTACCTGAGCAGGTCTTTTCTGTTGATGATGGTCTTCATGTAGTCCGAGAGCTTCTTCTGCATCAAGGCCAGTCGTAACCAGGCTCGCCCTCTTCCAAGTGGAGTTCTGGTGTTGAACACAAATCTTCATTTCAAACATGAACTACGTAGAACGATCAGTTAGTCCTCAAAAACCAGGATCTGTCAGCGGTCCTGCTTCAACTGAAATGCAGGTAACGGACTCACTTGAGTCCAGGCAGGTCCTTCACGCTGGCGGTGATCTCTCCTGCTTCAGGTGTCAGCTTCTCCACCAGTTCCAAGGGCCCCCAGAAGGACTTGTTCTGGCCCAGGAAGGTCTTCTTAGCTGACGGGTCACAGGTAGAATTAGAGCCATCACACAAACAGCCCTCAGGACGGCTGCTGACATTTAACACGAGTTCAGTTCCACGTGAACGTGACGCTTCACACAGTCTGCATGACGTTTAGAAACCTGAAGCTTTACACACATTTTATTTACACCAAACACACAATCAAGTAACTTGATGTTTGTAAAACGTACCCCTCAGACCATGCTTGAGGCAGTGCTCCATCACAACGAAGAACTGCTGCAGGGGGGCGTAGTCGGAGTCGAGCGTTCGCCCGAGGTTCAGCGCCGACTCGATCAGACCTTTGATGCTCAGCTTGGCCATGTTCATCAAGTTCAGCCTTTCAATGGCGATCGGATCTTTGGGGTCTGAAAAGAAAAGACGAGAGCTAAAAGCAGCGCTGACTCTGTAGCGACAGTCTGCACGCTGCATCCATGTGTTGAGGTTGTGAATGGACTCGATGCTCTGGAGGACGTAACCCCCGTCCACGCAGTTCAGCTGGGACGTTAACGCTGTGGACACAACACCACGAGTAACAGACGCACTGACCAAGGCTTCTCCTCACAGCACAAAGTCCTCCAAGTTAGCAGCGACTCACGTGGCGACATGTCGCCTGATCGTGTTGTTCTTCTTCTTCCAGCTGCTCCTTCGCCAGGAGTCACCACAGAGAACAACTCACACGAAGACCTGGACATTAGTTTTTACACCAGATGTTGTTCCTGATCAACCACCGAGCTACCACAGCCCTCTGAGTGCAGCAGAGAGCGCCCAGAGGAGCACATGGTGGGGGTTAAGAGCCTTGCTCAAGGGCCCACAGTGGGACAAATGAGGGTGGAGGCAGGTGTGGGTGCTTCACCTATCCCACCCACATTTTGATGTTGTCTGTACCAGGAGTTGAACCAACGATCTTCCTATCACAGGCCCACCTTCTCTAACCTCTGCGCCACCACTCCATGACTTACAGGTTTCTGACAGGAAGTAGCGTGAGAGGGACGTGATGCACTTCCTGTCACATTTCAAACCACTGCTGAGAGAATCTGTTCTGCTGCAGCTCCGTCTCGTTCTTTTAGCAACATTTCATTTCTTGTCTGTCATTTATGATCACGACCTTCACGTGTAGGTCAAGTTCACATCATTAAAAAGATTACATTCTGAACATTTTCACTCTTCTTGCAGCTGCTCCCTCTTCAGAGGTCTCCACAGCAAGTCCTCCATCTCACTCGGTCCTCACTCCAACTACCTCCATGTCCTCTCTAACTGCATCCATAGATCCACATGATTGGACATGTCCAAACCACTGTCCTTCCTCTGGACACGTCCAAACCAC